CAGGAAGGGGGGGGCAGTGGTTAAAAATCTCCTCTGTCAAGTCTCCCCAGGGCTTCAAGCCCGCTCTGCTATAACAAAGCACGGCTTTGTTTTGCCCACAACAAAAATGGCCGCCGGTATCTCCCTCTAGTCGCAGTTGTGAGTCTTTCTCATTTCAGATGCCGGAAGTGTGCTTTTTTTTTTTTTTCTATTTTGAAGCTGAGGAACATCTGAGCAGGAATTGTGGATCTGTTTGGGACTTTATGGACTGCCTTCTCTGAGGCACAGGTTATTGGGCTTTGATTTGCCAGCGGCAAAGATGGCCACTGCGAGCCCTGTGTTTGGTCATGTGACCGGTGCACCGTCCTCATTCTTCCCCCAATACAGATACCGGAAGTGAGTTTTTTTTTTTTTTTGTCTTCCGAAGCAGAGGAATCTGAACGGTAGGTATGGAAGTGTGAGTGGGGAGGAGGGAGGGAGCCGTATATGTGTCCTCCTGGTCATGACACGTATGTGACAGGACGTGGACTGATGTAAACTATATATATAAAATTTGTGTTCTATAATATATATATATATATATATATATATATATATATATATATATATATATATACATCACACACACACACCAGAGTCATAGACTGTTGGGGGGGGTGGAAGTATGAGTGACATGCTGGACTTGTAGTCACACAGAAGTTCACCGCTTTGCTATGAATACTATATATATATATTCGTATTATCATAAACTTCATTCTTATATAATTTTTGGCTTCACATGCACTTGGCACTTTACGCTATTTTATCATTTGCATTATATTGGTTGAATTTATAGCAGGGCCCTCGATCCCCTCATGTTTTGCATTGTATTGGTATTGTTCTGTCACATGTTCTGTTCCCCCTCTGTAATGTACAGCGCTGAGTGAACTATTGGCGCTTTATAAATACTGTATAAATAATAGCGCTGCTCTCCTCTATCAATATCTATATAAAAAAAATAACTTTAGTGGAACCGCACTGCACCTGATCAACACAAACCAAAAAACAATATTTCATTCACTTTTAGTATTCAAAGCAAACTCTCCCCCTTCCTCCCATGTCTCCGTGCTTTATGTTTGCTGAGAAATCGCTTTGAAAACCACCCCCCCCCCTTAGCATTTCTGGCCGTGGCCATCTGAGTAAGGGCAGATGATTCATGTAGCGTTTACTTTCTGGAACTCATCTGCCCTTAGCTCAGGGTGTGCTTAGCTGAGAAAACCCCTCTTGAAGACTCCTGGGATCAGAATCAGAAAACCCCTCTTGATCATAAAACCCCTCTTGATCATAAAACCCCTTGATCATAAAACCCCTCTTGATCATAAAACCCCTCTTGAATCATAAAACCCCTCTTGATCATAAAACCCCTCTTGATCATAAAACCCCTCTTGATCATAAAACCCCTCTTGATCATAAAACCCCTCTTGATCATAAAACCCCTCTTGATCAAAAAACCCCTCTTGAATCATAAAACCCCCTCTTAAACAGAAAACCCATCAGATCAGAAAACTCCTCTTGATCAGAAAACCCTTCTTGATCAGAAAACCCCTCAGATCAGAAAGCCACTCTTGATCAGATCAGAAAACCCCTCTAGATCAGAAAACCCTTCTTGATCAGAAAAACCCCTCTTGATCAGAAAACCCATCAGATCAAAAAAACCATCAGATCAGAAAACCCCCTCTTGATCAGAAAACCCCCTCTTGATCAGAAAACCCATCAGATCAGAAAACCCATCAGATCAGAAAACCCTCTTGATCAGAAAACCCCTTTTGACCAGAAAACCCCTTTTGACCAGAAAACCCTTCTTGACCAGAAAACCCCTCTTGACCAGAAAAACCCTCTTGACCAGAAAACCCCTCTTGACCAGAAAACCCCTCTTGACCAGAAAACCCCTCTTGACCAGAAAACCACTCATGATCAGAAAACCCCTCATGATCAGAAAACCCCTCATGATCAGAAAACCCTTCTTGATCAGAAAACCCTTCTTGATCAGAAAACCCCTCATGATCAGAAAACCCCTCATGATCAGAAAACCCTTCTTGATCAGAAAAACCCTTCTTGATCAGAAAACCCCCTCTTGATCAGAAAACCCCTCTTGATCAGAAAACCCCTCTTGATCAGAAAACCCCTCCTGAAGACTCCTTGGATCATTTGCCTAGGCCGGAAACCAGGAAGTAACTGCAGAAATGTAAAATAAAAAAAAAAAGTTTAAAACAAGTAACTATGATATACTATGCTATCTATTTACTAATGCTAGCAGCATAAGGATTCAAAGTAATCAATGTCGATTGAGAGAGTGGAGTTCTGCTTTAAAAACAACTAAAATGTGCATTACAATTCATTTTCCATACACCATAACAGTGTGTGGTACAGTGGACTGAAGAGTGTATTTCCAGAAAGGTGTGATGGATCGACGTTTTGCGATGGCACTTCCTCAGGATCCAAGCCTTTTGTTAGATATATATTATACATTGTTATTGTTATTCTGTGCAGCCATATTATATAATACGATCATATCAAAATATACAAACAGTATATAAATAAAAACAACAAAAACAAAAAAGTAAAAGTTCAGTTGTTAGGTGGAGATGAGATGGACTTCCCTGAAGAGATGAACAGGCTAGGAGATAGCCAGACAGATTGGGATAGGGAGCTCCAGAGGATGGGAGAAGCTCTGGAGAAGTCCTAGGAGTGATGAGGGATGTAGAAGTCCAGTATCCTTTCGAATATTATACTCTGTACATTATGCTGTTTATTATGGGGGGGGGGTCACCTGCTGGTGCAGCTGTCACACATGGTGTCAGTGACCTGATTCTTCTCTGCCATTCTCCTCTATTGCAGGCACAATGTTCGGCTCCTCCAGAGGGGGCGTTCGGGGCGGACAGGACCAGTTCAACTGGGAAGATGTCAAGATGGATAAACAGCGGGAAAAACTACCTCGGTAACTAGGAGATTATTGCATCAGATTGCTCTGTGGTACTGGATACGGCACTGTCCCCTGGTCCCTTATTAACCACTTCCAGTCCGGACACTTTCCCCCCCTTCCAGTCTGGACACTTTCCCCCCCCCCTTCCACTCCGGACACTTTCCCCCCCTTCCACTCCGGACACTTTCCCACCCCTTCCACTCCGGACACTTTCCCCCCCTTCCACTCCGGACACTTTCCCCCCCCCCTTATTCCAGTCCGGACACTTTCCCCCCCTTCCAGTCGGCGACACTTTCTTTCCCCCCCTTCCAGTCCGGACACTTTCCCCCCCTTCCAGTCCGGACACTTTCCCCCCCTTCCAGTCCGGACACTTTCCACCCCTTCTCCAGTCCGGACACTTTCCCCCCCCCCTTCCAGTCCGGAGACACTTCCCCCCCCACCTTCCAGTCCGGACACTTTCCCCCCCTTCCAGTCCGGACACTTTCCCCCCCCTTCCAGTCCGGGACACTTTCCCCCCCTTCCAGTCCGGACACTTTCCCCCCCTTCCAGTCCGGACACTTTCCCCCCCCCTTCCAGTCCGGACAACTTTTCCCCCCCCTTCTCCAGTCCGGACACTTTCCCCCCCTTCCAGTCCGGACACTTTCCCCCCCTTCCACCTACACCCTCTCCAGTCCGGACACTTTCCCCCCCTTCCAGTCCGGACACTTTCCCCCCCTTCCAGTCCGGACTTACTTTCCCCCCCTTCCTTCCAGTCCAGGACACTTTCCCCCCTTCCCAGTCCCGGACACTTCCCCCCCTTCCAGTCCCGGACACTTTCCCCCCCTTCCAGTCCGGACACTTTCCCCCCCTTCCAGTCCGGAACACTTTCCCCCCCCTCTTCCAGTCCGGACACTTTCCCCCCCCTTCCAGTCCGGACACTTTCCCCCCCTTCCAGTCCGGACACTTTCCCCTCCCCCCCTTTTTTTTTTCCAGTCCGGACACTTTCCCCCCTTCTTCCAGTCCCGGACACTTTCCCCCCCTTCCAGTCCGGACACTTTCCCCCCCTTCCAGTCGGACACTTTCCCCACCCCTTCCAGTCCGGGACACTTTCCCCCCTTCCAGTCCGGACACTTTCCCCCCCTTCCAGTCCGGACACTTTCCCCCCCCCTTTCCAGTCCGGACACTTTCCCCCCCTTCCAGTCCGTACACTTTCCCCCCCTTTCCAGTCCGGACACTTTCCCCCCCTTCCAGTCCCGGGACCACTTTCCCCCCCCCTTTCCAACAGTCCGGGACACTTTCCCCCCCTTCCAGTCCGGACACTTTTCCCCCCCTTTCCAGTCCGGACACTTTCCCCCCCTTCCAGTCCGGACACTTTCCCCCCCTTCCAGTCCGGACAACTTTCACCCCCTTCCAGTCCGGACACTTTTTATCACCCCCTTCCTGTCCGGACACACTTTTCCCCCCCTTCCAGTCCGGACACTTTCCCCCCCTTCCAGTCCGGACACTTTCACCCCCTTCCAGTCCAGGCCAATTTTCAGCTTTCAGTGCTATCACCACTTTGAAATGACAATTGTGCGGTCATTGCAACACTGTACCCAGATGAATTTTTTTAGCATTTGTTTGAGACAGATGAGACTTTATTTTGGGTGGTATTTATTCACCGCTGGGAATTTTTATTTTTTTTTGCTATGCAAATTAAAATGTCCAAAAAATTTTGAAAAAAACAGTTTTTTTCTTATAAAATTTTGCAAATAAATAATCTTTTCTTCATAAATCTCGGCCAAAAATTTAATCCCATTATATGTTTAGTAAAAAAAAATAACCCAAATTAAATTTATAACCAAAAAAAGTATAAATTTTTAAAATTAATTTTTTACATTTTTTTATATTATCTTTTTTATTTATTTTTATTATACTGTCACCCTAGCAGTACGGTGTCACCATGGTGACACTGCACTACTTGTGGGGGGTGATGAAGATTTTTTTTTTTACACTGATTGCTTTTACACCCATAAAGGCTGTGAAAGCAATCATTATCCCCTTCTTCTCTGGGCTGCATTCTTGCAGCCATTGAGAACTAACTGTGTGAGCTGTGATTGGATCACAGCTTGTCACATGGTACAAGACTGTTGTGAATAGCCCTGTACTATGTGATCTCTGTGATCATTCACAGATTTCACACGTAGTAAGCAATGATGTCAGAAGTGACATCTTGCTTACTACTTCTGCATGTGATCACTGATTGGCCAATCAGTGATCACATGATCGGAGGACCATGATAAGGACCTCGTACAGAGGTCCCGTTCCGAAACGATTGGTGTTCCACTGTGTACCGGAGGACACAGCGGGCACCGGATCGCGGTGCTGCGAGCTCCCAAGGAGCGCGGCACAAGTAGGGTGCGGGGAGGCTGGTTTATAAACAGCCACCCAACCCCTGCAGTTGCTACCGTCCGGAATCCGAAGTATCAACCGTTTTAAATATTCAACGGCCGGACGGGAGGTGGTTAAGCCCCAGGTTCACACTAAAATGTGAATGCGGGAAATGCGCCAGGACTCCCACATTGCACCACGTGGCAATTGCACTGTGTTTTTTTGCGATCTGCTGAACGGGTGTCAGTTGAAAGTTGACAATGTCCCAAAAGCAGGTCGCAGAACCTGTGTTTGCCTGAATCGGATCGCATTTGTATGAGCACCTATGCGATCCGATCCCAGTGCGGCAAAAATAGGTGCCTGCATTTTTTTTCGTGCGGATGCGGTGCGATTTGAGCCATACAAAATGATGGGCTCAGATCGCATTGCGAGGAATCGCATGTGATTTGCTCAGGAATGCGGTGCGGTTTCCTGTGTGAATCACATGTGATGTGGTCTCGCTCTCCTCATTTGTAGCTCCCTGTATTTGTCTATTCTCCCCAGTTTCTTTAACCACTTCCCGTCTGGCCGCTGTATATAAACGGCCGGGACGGTGGCGGTTCAGGGGAGGGTTGCCGTTCATAAACGGCACCTGCCATTTTGGACTGCGCGTGCTCCCGGGGAGCGAGCAGCACCGCGATCCGGTGCCCACTGTGTCCTTCGGACACAGTGGAACACACGATCGTCGTGGGGGAGCTCTGTGCGAGGTCCCGATCATGTGACCACTGATTGGCCAATCCGTGATCACATGCAGAATAGTAAGCAAGATGTCACTTCTGACATCATTGCTTACTACGTGTGAAATCTGTGAATGATCACAGAGATCACATGGTACAGGGCTATTCACAACAGCCTTGTACCATGTGACAAGCTGTGACCAATCACAGCTCACACAGTATTTCTCAATGGCTGCAAGAATGCAGCCAAAGAGAAGTAGAAAATGATTGCTTTTACAGCCTTTATGGGTGTAAAAGCAATCAGTGTAAAAAAAAAAAAAAAAAAATCTTCATCACCCCCCACAAGTAGTACAGTGTCACCATGGTGACATTGTACTTCTAGGGTGACAGTATGTAAAAAAAAAAAAACATAAATAATAATATAAAAATGTAAAATTTAAAAAAAATAAATTATAATTTTTGGTTATAAACTAATTTGGGTTATTTATTTTTTACTAACAAGATAACGGAATACATTTTGAGCAAGATTTATGATGAAATAATATTTATTTGCAAAATTTTATAGGAAAAAACACTTTTTTCAAAATTTTTGGACTTTTTCATTTATATAGCAAAAATAATAAAAATCCCAGCGGTGAATAAATACCACCAAAATAAAGCTTTATCTGTCTCAAACAAATGCTAAAAAATTCATATGGGTACAGCGTTGCATGACCGCGCAATTGTCATTCAAAGTGTGATAGCGCTGAAAGCTGAAAATTGGCCTGGGGGGGGGGGAAGGGGGTGAAAGTGTCTGGACTGGAAGTGGTTAAGAATTGCTGTGATCGATCGGCCTCCCTTACTGGCTACCTTACTTTCTCTCTTCTGAAATTCCAACAATTACTCTCAGTGACTTCAACATCCCCATTAACATTAAAGTGTTACTAAACCCCCAACAGTACAATCAGTCTGTAGATGCAGTAAAGCATGCTTGTTATACTCTGTGGAACCTAAGGGGTTAATCCACTGCATTGTGTAAAAATGCTGTTTGATCCTGTCTTCTCTGACCCTCCCCTTTTTCTCCTGTTCCCCTCTTATCTCCTGATGAGACATATCATGTGGAGACACTCTGCACATGCTCAGTTTGGTGTGTATTTCTAGAGAGTCTTTTTTTTTTCTCTTGGGAGACTGCATGTGATCAGCACAGGGCCAATCAGCACTGTCCAGACAGAGGTCAGGGGTGAATGCGGGGTCCGGGGAGAGCGGACATGGTGAGCGCGGGGTCCGGGGAAGCGGACATGGTGAGCGCGGGGGTCCGGGGAGAGCGGACATGGTGAGCGCGGGGTCCGGGGAGAGCGGCCATGGTGAGCGCGGGGTCCGGGAGAGCGGCCATGGTGAGCGCGGGGTCCGGGAGAGCGGCCATGGTGAGCGCGGGGTCCGGGGAGAGCGGCCATGGTGAGCGCGGGGTCCGGGAGAGCGGCCATGGTGAGCGCGGGGTCCGGGAGAGCGGCCATGGTGAGCGCGGGGTCCGGGGTTTAGTAACACTTTAACACTCCTCCTACTTCTGGTGGCCAATATCCTTCAACTCGCTTCCTGGACTGCACAGTGAAAGGAGAAGCAGCACAATGATGAGCTCATCTCTCCGTCACTCTGCTCTCTCCTCTTATCAGCATGCTTTTTGTCAGCAGATGAACTGATTGGCTCCTTGTGCTGCTTCTTCCATCCACATTGCAGCCTTTGCTGTACAGGAACTACAAGAGGTTGGATCATTTGGTAGCTCTGTGCCCCTGCTATGATTTGATTATCGTGTCTTGTAAAATCTCTGTAGTTTTGTGCTGACTAGAGAGGGAGGATACGGGAGACCACTCAGTCCCAGTGGTATGTGGGTGAAGTAATTTGCAGTCGCTGTCATGGAAGCTGTGTGTGTCCTGGATAAATTGTTTCTTCCTGTACCTGTCCATGCAGGGAACTCGTTAATGGCACCGGTGGGAAGGTGGCAGAAGGGCAGAGACCTGACTTGGTATGCAAAGCAGAAGAATGCGGGGGAGGCCCTCAGCAGAGAGCAGGAGCTGGCTGCAGTGAAACAAGCCGAGGAGGAAGCCATGATGGCCGCCCTGTGAGTTACCTAATAAAATAAAGGATGTGCATGTCTGCAGTCTCTGACCATCTCCTGTAGTATGTCTGCAGTCTCTGACCATCTCCTGTATCATTTCTGCAGTCTCTACCATCTCCTGTAGTATGACTGCAGTCTCTGACCATCTCCTGTGGTAGTGTCTGCAGTCTCTGACCATCTCCTGTGGTATGTCTGCAGTCTCTGACCATCTCTGTGGTATGTCTGCAGTCTCTGACCATCTCTTGTAGTATGTCTGCAGTCTCTGACCATCTCCTGTAGTCATGTCTGCAGTCTCTGACCATCTCCTGTATCATGTCTGCAGTCTCTGACCATCTCCTGTATCATGTCTGCAGTCTCTGACCATCTCCTGTAGTACTGCAGTCTCTGACCATCCCTGTAGTATGTCTGCAGTCTCTCACCATCTCCTGTACTATGTCTGCAGTCTCTGACCATCTCCTGTATCATGTCTGCACTCTCTGACCATCTCCTGTATCATGTCTGCACTCTCTGACCATCTCCTGTATCATGTCTGCACTCTCTGACCATCTCCTGTATCATGTCTGCAGTGTCTGACCATATCCTGTATCATGTCTGCACTCTCTGACCATCTCCTGTATCATGTCTGCAGTCTCTGACCATCTCCTGTATCATGTCTTCCGTCTCTGACCATCTGCTGTATCATGTCTGCAGTCTCTGACCATCTTCTGTAGTATATCTGCAGTCTCTGACCATCTCCTTGTATCACGTCTGCAGTCTCTGCATCTCTTGTATCACGTCTGCAGTCTGATCATCTCCTGTATCACGTCTGCAGTCTCTGATCATCTCCTGTATCATGTCTGCAGTCTCTGATCATCTCCTGTATCACATCTGCAGTCTCTGACCATCTCCTGTATCATGTCTGCAGTCTCTCCCAGCTTTCTGTAGTGTTGCACAAACTGCGTATCACATGGCTCCTTTTGGTGATGTTAGGGGCCACACGTTTTATGAAGTCAGTAGACCATCACTGAGATCACCTTTTCCACAGAAATGAAGTGCTGGGTTTTGTTGCCTTCCCTGCCACTTGAGTTTTTGCATTTTTCTTTATATGACACAGCCTTGTATGTTATTACAGAGGTTACAAGACTGTGAAGCGTCAGCCGAAGGGTCTCAGTAAAGAGGTGAGTGCCAGTTCACAAAATCCTTTCCCCTTATCCAGCCTCCTGTACACAGAAGTACTGCTCGGCAGAGCGCCATCCTCGGTATGAGGCTCCATCACCATCATCTGTGCCCCCCCCCCCCCCACCCCGCTCATTTCAGAAGTTTACAGCCACTTTAACCCTTCCCTACTTTCAGTGGTGTCCCTAGGTAGGTGCGGGAGGGTGCGCTCCACAACGGGTGACATCTACCGCATGGGGTGACACCGGACCCGCTTCACGAAAAGGTAAGTTGTAAAGCAAGCCGACGATCCCCGCAGGATGGATCGGATCTGCGTATTGGGAGCATAAGGATCGGACTCTGATCCATTAGGCTCGATCCGCAGATCCGATCCATCCTGTGGGGATCGTCGGCTTGCTTTACAACTTACCTTTTCGTGGAGCGGTTCCGGTGTCACCCCATATAGGTTGCATGCCGACCAGGGGCAGACTGACAACTCATGGGGCCCCCGGGCAATAGGGGATCATGGGGCCCCTGTGTCCTTGCCCAAACTCAAAAAAGCCTATGAAAAAGGTGCCAGTGGCATCTCATGTGGCCCCCTACTGACCTCGGGCAGTATCTGAGTTTCCAAATGGTCAGTCCGCCCCTGATGCCGATGATCCCCGCAGGATGGATCAGATCTGCAAATTGGGGAGCATAATGGATCGGAGTCCAATCCATTATGCTCGATCCGCAGATCCGATCCATCCTGCGGGGAACGTCGGCATCAGGGGCGGATTGAGCATAATGGATCAGACTCCGATCCATTATACTCCTCAATACGAAGATCTGATCCATCCTGCAGGGATCGTCGGCTTTCTTTACAACCTACCTTTTCGTGGAGCGGGTCCGGTGTCACCCCATATAGGTTGCATGCCGACGATCCCCACAGGATCTGCAGATTGGGGAGCATAATGGATAGGACTCCGATCCATTTTGCTCAATCCGCAGATCCGATCCATCCTGCGGGGATCGTCAGCATGCAACCTATACAGGGTGACCGGACCGGACCCGCTCCACGAAAAGGTAAGTTGTAAAGCAAGCCGACGATCCCCGCAGGATGGATCGGATCTGTGGATTGAGCATAATGGATCCCCAATCCGCAGATCCGATCCATTCTGCGGCAATCGTCGGAGGGGGTGTCACCCAAGTGTTACCGCACCGGGTGACACCAACCCTAGGGACGCCCCCTGCCTACGTTACCCAAAATCAAACAACAGAATTTGGGCTTTACATACATTTTAAATGTGTTGTTTACTCCGGCACTGAGCGCTGACTCGACTCTATCATCAGGAGTTCGCTGAAGCCTGCAAGCGGGAAGGCACAGAGAGGGATGAGCGGAGTGTGGACCGCGTCCGTGGCCTCGGGAGCAGGTAATGGTTTTCATGCTGTGCAAAATTTAAAGGTCAACTCCAGGAACTTTTTCAAATATCCCTTGCAGTGGTGCTGCACCCGTGGTGTCAGGGTTAATTGCTTGTTTTGCCCGGGGGAGAGGGAAGCACTTTTACCTACCTGATCCTCCGCTCCCCGGCAGATGGTGCTCCCCCATGCTCTGGTGTCATCCTATCCAGTTCTAGGGACCTTCCTTTGGGTTTATCCCCTTGCCCTCCTGAGGATTCTCCCCCCCCCCCCCCCTTCCTGACTGGGCCATTTTCTGCGTTACGGCGCTGCGTTATTTTGTATTTCAATGTTTTTATTAATTTATAAACAGTTTAAGACAGGAGCAACAAAACACGCCCACTCAGGGGCTGTCAATTGCGCATTGATTAAAAAATTCATTGCAAATTTAAAAATGAATTGCAAATTAAAAAGCAGTGCTCTAACATCAACAGAGCAAAAGGTGCGCCCACAGGCGCTGCGTTATTTTTAACTGACAATTGCGCAGTCATGCAACGCTTCACCCAAATGAAATTTACATCCTTTTTTTTACCCACAAGTTTGTTATTTGATCGTCTTTGTGGTTTTATTTTTTACATTCTAAAAAAAAAAAAAAAAAGACCGACAATTTTGAGAAAAAAACAATATTTTTGACTTTTTGCTAGTAAACATGTCCAGTAAAAAAAAAAAATGTAAAAATCAAATTTCCTCATAAATTTAGGCCAAAATGTATTCTGCTCTGTGTCTTTGCTAAAAAAAAAAAAAAAAAATCCCAATACGTGTAAATTAATTTACGTGAAAGTTATAGCGTCTACAAATGGCGGTATATATACTGGGATTTTTTTTTTCTTTTTTTACGAAAAATGGCGGCGATCGGCGACTTATAGCGGGACTGAGGCGAGCATTCTGATACTGGGGGGAAACTGACTTGGTGTCACTGATATCCCAAGTGACACCAATACAGTGATCAGTGTAAAAAAAAAAAACACTGACACTGTACTAATGGCACTGGGCAGGAAGGGGTTAACATCTGGGGCAATCAAAGGGTTAACTGTGCAGGGAGTGTTTTACTAGAGGGTGGGGTCTGTGTGCTTCAATGTAATCACACTGATCTGTGCACAGCCATCCAGAGCAGTGTGCCGGAGCTGACAGGGAGGAGGACTGTTAGTAAACAAAGCAGCCCTCCTCCACGTTGGAGATCCTCTGTAATCACCGGGCGCCGGCAGATAATTGACAGCCGCTGCCGTGAACAGCGGCACGGGTAGGGCTCACACACAGCTCGCACACGCCCCCTACCGGGAAATGCGAAATCACATGTATGTATACGTGATTTTGCGCACCCCTGCCGCCCTGTAGCAGTACATCTGCTATAGGGCGGCAGGGAAGTGGTTACTGGCATTAGCTGGATCATTTATTTATTTATTTATTACAGGTACTTATATAGCGCCGTCAATTTACGCAGCGCTTTACATATATATTGTACATTCCCATCAGTCCCCGCCCCCGAGGAGCGTACAATCTAAGGTCCCTAACTCACATTCATACATACACATACAAGGGCCAATTTAGACAGGAGCCAATTCACCTACCAGCATGTCTTTGGAGTGTTAGAGGAAACCGGAGTACCCGGAGGAAACCCACGCAGGCACAGGGAGAACATGCAAACTCCAGGCAGGTGGTGCCGTGGCTGGGATTCGAACCAACGACCCGAGTACTGCCAGGGGGCAGTGCTAACCATTTACCACTGTGCTGCCCATCATGGGGAAGAACATACTGCAGGGACCAGTCTAGAAGCACAGGGGAAGCGGAGAATCCGGTAACTCTTTTTAATTGTTCCCGTAGACCACATATATCAAGCACAAAGCCCGGGGGCCGAATCAGGCCTGCCAGGCCATTTCATGTGGCCCTTGCACCTCTCCTGCAGCTGCGGCTCCCTCCTCGTCTCTGCCCCCACCTTCTCTCAGCAGTCAGCAGCAGGGAGGACAGGAAGATTGTTGCTGAAATCAAAGGGGTGGTGACAGGGTCTCTTTAATGACAGCAGTCTCTTATATGTCACCTCTGTCTCTGCAGTGTTTCCTCCGCGCAGATGATGCTTTCCAAGGAGGATAAGGAGGCCACTAAAATGGGTTTCTCCATCTTCACCGTAAGTCTTTGTATTTTATGGAATTGCTATATGGCGCCGAAAAAAAAAAACATTTTCTACTTTCTTTAGGGAGAAGAGAAAAGACACCGCTGTCAGCACTTGTGCATCCTCTATACATGCATTCACTATATCCGCTCTCCCAGGACCCTGCATTCACTATATCCGCTCTCCCCGGACCCCGCATTCACTATATCCGCTCTCCCCGGACCCTGCATTCACTATATCTGCTCTCCCCGGACCCTGCATTCACTATATCCGCTCTCCCCGGACCCTGCATTCACTATATCCGCTCTCCCCGGACCCTGAATTCACTATATCCGCTCTCCCCGGACCCCGCATTCACTATATCCGGTCTCCTCGGACCCTGCATTCACTATATCTGGTCTCTCACAGTACACACAACATGGAAATACAATTATTTTAGTAAAAACTGCTAAATCCCTTTTCTCATCAGCAGTATAGAGCAGTCTTGTGACTTCTATCAGTGTCCAGCAGAGCACTGATTAAAGCTTGTAGGAGGAATTTTCCTTCTGTTCTAGGAGGATGTAGAACCCCTGACCTCTGGACAGTGCTAATTGGTCCTGTGCTGATCACATGCATTCTCCCAAGAATAAAAAAAACCTCTCTAGCAATACACACCAAACTAAGCATGCGTAGAGTGCCTCCACACGATATGTCTTATCAGGAGATAAGAGGGGGGCACTGGAAAAAGGGGAGGATCAGAGAAGCCAGGATCAAACAGCCTTTTTTTACACAATGGTCCCACAGTGAGTATAACAAGCATGTTTTACTGCATTTACAGACTGATTGTACTGTTGGGGGTTTAGTAACACTTTCATTTTTTTCTGTAAAAAATGTGATAGAAATCTGGTGCCAAATCTGTTCATTTCTCGTTAAACCACACAGCACCAAAAAGGTGGAGAGCGGCAGGAAGGGCACGGTGATAAGAGAAAGGTGGAAGGAGGAGAGGAAGCATCCAGGTGAGTGTACCCCTGCATCACGCCTCTTACTTTGCTTCCTTGATCTTTTTTTGTTTTTTTTGTTTTTTTTTTCTGTGACAACAACAGCTGAGCTGTAAAAGACCCATCAAGCAGCGATCTGCCAGTTTAGGAGATCGGGAGTTTATCACTTTGGGTTTGGAGAGGGAGCTTGATAGTTCAATGATGTAATGCTAACCTTAGGCTGGCCAGGCTGGCCATACACTGTACAATTTTCTGCCCAATTTCTGCCCAATAACCTTCAACTATGTAGTGCCTAATTGGATACAATTGAAAGCGTTGTTTGGGTTTGACCTCCTATTATATGGTTTTTGGTAAATCTAAAGCAGAATTCTCAAGAAAATTGTATAATGTATGGCCAGCCTTAATTACTGCTTTACCCCCCCCCCCCCCCCGGTTCACATGTATGCGGCTGTGCGGGCTGCGTTTTACACGGACATGAGAGCCCATTCGTTTGAATGGACTCCCGAGCCCGTGACACGCAGGGAAAGAAGTCCCTGCACTACTTTCGAAAACGCAGCCGAGGTTCCCAGTGCGGGCGGCGTGCCATTAGAACTGTCACCCGCCCGCCGGTCCGCAATTCTCTGTGCGGGTGGTGCGGCTGCTTGGATTTTCGTGCAGATCCGCAGCGGCACCACCCCCACGGATGTGAACCGGGGGTTAGGGCCCATTCACACTTTGCCGTTGCAATAACTTGCACAGCACCACGTGGTACATGCGTCGCTGCACTGCACTGCCTTTCATTCTGAATGGCACCCGAACTCAGCTTGCCAACAGAATTGCTGCATGCATCCTTTTTCTTTTTTGGTGCATTGGGCAGCCTATTCCAATAATTCGCTTTCCATAATACAGTAGTGTGGATGGGCCCTTAACCACTTCCAGTCCGGACACTTCTCCCCCCTTTCCAGTCCGAACACTTCCCCCCCTTCCAGTCCGGACACTTTCCCCCCCTTCCAGTCCGGACACTTTCCCCCCCTTCCAGTCCGGACACTTTCCCCCCCTTCCAGTCCGGACACTTTCCCCCCCTTCCAGTCCGGACACTTTCCCCCCCTTCCAGTCCGGACACTTCCCCCCCCTTCCAGTCCGGACACTTTCCCCCCCTTCCAGTCCGGACGCTTTCCCCCCCCCCCCCCCCTTCCAGTCCGGACGCTTTCACCCCTTTCCAGTCCGGACGCTTTCACCCCCCTTCCAGTCCGGACGCTTTCCCCCCCTTCCAGTCCGGACGCTTTCCCCCCCTTCCAGTCCGGACGCTTTCCCCCCCTTCCAGTCCGGACGCTTTCCCCCCCTTCCAGTCCGGACGCTTTCCCCCCCTTCCAGTCCGGACGCTTTCCCCCCCTTCCAGTCCAGACACTTTCACCCCCTTCCAGTCCGGACACTTTCACCCCCTTCCAGTCCGGACACTTTCACCCCCTTCCAGTCCGGACGCTTTCCCCCCCTTCCAGTCCGGACGCTTTCCCCCCCTTCCAGTCCGGACACTTTCCCCCCTTAAAGTCCGGACACTTTCCCCCCTTCCAGTCCGGACACTTTCACCCCCTTCCAGTCCGGACACTTTCACCCCCTTCCAGTCCGGACGCTTTCCCCCCCTTCCAGTCCGGACGCTTTCCCCCCCCCTTCCAGTCCGGACACTTTCCCCCCTTAAAGTCCGGACACTTTCCCCCCTTCCAGTCCGGACACTTTCACCCCCTTCCAGTCCGGACACTTTCACCCCCTTCCAGTCCGGACACTTTCACCCCCTTCCAGTCCGGACACTTTCACCCCCCCTTTCCAGTCCGGACACTTTCACCCCCTTCCAGTCCGGACACTTTCCCCCCCCCCCCCCTCCAGTCCGGACACTTTCCCCCCCTTCCAGTCCAGACACTTTCCCCCCCCTTCCAGTCCAGACACTTTCCCCCCCTTCCAGTCCAGACACTTTCCCCCCCTTCCAGTCCGGACACTTTCCCCCCTTCCAGTCCGGACACTTTCCCCCCCTTCCAGTCCGGACACTTTCCCCCCCTTCCAGTCCGGACACTTTCCCCCCCTTCCAGTCCGGACACTTTCCCCCCCTTCCAGTCCGGACACTTTCCCCCCCTTCCAGTCCGGACACTTTCCCCCCCTTCCAGTCCGGACACTTTCACCCCCTTCCAGTCCGGACACTTTCACCCCCTTCCAGTCCGGACACTTTCACCCCCTTCCAGTCCGGACACTTTCACCCCCCTTCCAGTCCGGACACTTTCACCCCCTTCCAGTCTGGACACTTTCACCCCCATCCAGTCCGGACACTTTCCCCCCCATCCAGTCCGGACACTTTTCCCCCCATCCAGTCCGGACACTTTCCCCCCCCCTTCCGGTCTGGTTTAGCATTTTTTTGAGACAGATAAAGCTTTATTTTGGTGGCATTTATTCACCGCTGGGATTTTTTTTTTTTTTGCTATATAAGTGAAAAAGTCCAAAAATTTTGAAAAAGTGTTTTTCTTGTACAATTTTGCAAATAAATAATTTTCTTCATAAATCTTGGCCAAAATTTATTCCGTTTTATCTTTTTAGCAAAAAAAAAATAACCCAAATTAGTTTATAATCAAATTATAATTTTTCAAAAAATGTTTTCTATATTTGTATTTTGTTTTTTTTATATTATTATTAGTTTTTTTAAATACTGTCACCCTAGCAGTACAGTGTCACCATAGTAACACTACTACTTGTAGGGGGTGATGAAGATTTTTAATTTTTTTTACACTGATTGCTTTTACACCCATAAAGGCTGTAAGGGGAATCATTTCTCCTTCTCTCTGGCTGCATTCTTGCAGCCATTGAGAAATACTGTGTGAGCTGTGATTGGTCACAGCTTGCCACATGGTACAAGGCTGTTGTGAATAGCCCTGTACCATGTGATCTCTGTGATCATTCACAGATCTCACACAAAGTAAGCAATGATGTCAGAAGAGACTTCTTGCTTACTACTCTTCATGTGATCACTGATTGGCCAATCAGTGATCACATGATCGGGACCTCGTACAGAGGTCCCGTACAACGACTGGTGTTCTACTGTGTCCGGAGGACACAGCGGGCACCGGATCGCGGTGCTGCGCACTCTGCAGAGAGACCACTTCTTCCACCACACAGAGAGCAGGGGGTGTCCTCTCTGCTGCATGCCGGGAGGGGCTGGTTGTGTTCACTCAGGCTGTATGCATTTGCCCACCTTCCTGCTTTATGTCCTTATAAACAGGCACCCTCGGCCTTGCAGTCATGGTGAGTGTCTTGTGTTTCAGGTCAGGAAGTAAGAAAAAGGCCAAGAAAGAGAAAAAGAAGAAGAAGAAAAAAGAGAAGAAGCAAAAGAAGGAAAAACATCGAAGAACCGATTCTTCATCATCATCGGACCAAGATGACAGGTGAGATCCTGGAGTAGTCTGTGCACTCCCTGCAATCACACCCTAGTCTGCTCTGCACTCCCTGCAACCACACCCTAGTCTGCACTGCACTCCCTGCAACCACACCCTAGTCTGCACTGCACTCCCTGCAACCACACCCTAGTCTGCACTGCACTCCCTGCAGCCACACCCTAGTCTGCACTGCGCTCCCTGTAACCACACCCTAGTCTGCTCTGCGCTCCCTGCAATCACACCCTAGTCTGCACTGCACTCCCTGCAACCACACCCTAGTCTGCACTGCACTCCCTGCAACCACACCCTAGTCTGCACTGCACTCCCTGCAACCACACCCTAGTCTGCTCTGCGCTCCCTGCAACCACACCCCAGTCTGCTCTGCGCTCCCTGCAATCACACCCCAGTCTGCTCTGCGCTCCCTGCAATCACACCCCAGTCTGCTCTGCACTCCCTGCAATCACACCCTAGTCACACCCTAGTCTGCTCTGCACTCCCTGCAATCACACCCTAGTCTGCTCTGCACTCCCTGCAATCACACCCTAGTCTGCTCTGCACTCCCTGCAATCACACCCTAGCCTGCTCTGCACCCCTTGGGGTTACACCCTAGTCTTCTCTACACCCCTTGGGTTACACCCTAGTCTGCTCTACACCTCCCTTGGGTCACACCCTAGTTTGCTCTGCACTCCCTGATGTTACACCCTAGTTTGCTCTGCATTCACAGCTCAGTCTGCTGTGCACTCCTACAGTTACACCCTAGTCTGCTCTGCACACCCTGGGTTCACACCCTAGTCTTCTGTACACCCTTAGGGGTCACACCCTAATCTGCTCTGCACACCCTCAGGGGTCACACCCTTGTCTTCTGTACACCCTCAGGGGCCACACCCTAGTCTTCTGTACATCCTCAGGGGTCACACCCTAGTCTGCTCTGCATACCCCAGGGGTCACACCCTAGTCTGCTTTGCACACCTTGGGGTCACACCCTAGTCTGCTTTGCACACCTTGGGGTCACACCCTAGTATGCTTTGCACACACTGGGGTCACACCCTACTCTTCTGTACACCCTGGGGGTCACACCCTAGTCTGCTTTGCACACCCTGGGGTCACACCCTAGTCTACTCGGCACACACTGGGGTCACACCCTACTCTTCTGTACACCCTCAGGGGTCACACCCTAGTCTGCTCAGCACACCCTGGGGTCACACCCTAGTCTTCTGTACACACTCAGGGGTCACACCCTAGTCTGCTCTGCACACCCTGGGGTCACACCCTAGTCTGCTCTGCACACCCTGGGGTCACACCCTAGTCTGCTCTGCACACCCTGGGGTCACACCCTAGTCTGCTCTGCACACCCTGGGGTCACACCCTAGTCTGCTCTGGGGTCACACCCTAGTCTGCTCTGTACCCACTGCATCAAACCCTGCTCTGCACTGCAATCACACCCTATTCTGCTCTGCATCCCCTGCAGTTACTCCCTAGTATGATTTAGCAATCACACCGAATTCTGTTTTGTATCTTCTGCGATTCCACCCTAAACTGCTCTGTAAACAAGATGTACCTGTGCTGAGATCCCATTGGCTTGTACATGTATATAATCTATCAAGTGACCAAAAGTTAGAAATTCTGATAAAGCCCTCTGCACACGGCTACATACCCTTTTTTAAGCAAACTTTTCAATAAAAAAACATGGATTTTGAGTTCACACATATTTCAGTAAATGTTTAAGCTGCCAACTGCGTCAAAGTAATCCATCCTGGCCAGTCCTGCTCCGCTCTGCCACGCAGATGCTGCTGTGGACACAATGCCAACATGGGGCAAACAGACACAAAGTGGGGGGAGAGCTACTAGGTTTAGTTAACTGCACTGCACCCCCTGTAGTTACACCCAAGGTCTGCACTGCACCCCCTGTAGTTACACCCGAGGTCTGCACTGCACCCCCTGTAGTTACACCCCAGGTCTGCACTGCACCCCCTGTAGCTACACCCCTGCACTGCACCCCCTGTAGTTACACCCAAGGTCTGCACTGCACCCCCTGTAGTTACACCCAAGGTCTGCACTGCACCCCCTGTAGCTACACCCGAGTCTGCACTGCACCCCCTGTAGTTACACCCAAGGTCTGCACTGCACCCCCTGTAGTTACACCCGAGGTCTGCACCCTCCCTGTAGTTACACCCCAGGTCTGCGCTGCACCCCCCGTAGTTACACCCGAGGTCTGCACTGCACCCCCTGTAGTTACACCCCAGGTCTGCGCTGCACCCCCCGTAGTTACACCCGAGGTCTGCACTGCACCCCTGTAGTTACACCCGGTCTGCACTGCACCCCCTGTAGTTACACCCGAGTTCTGCACTGCACCCCCTGTAGTTACACCTGAGTTCTGCACTGCAACCCCTGTAGTTACACCCGAGTTCTGCACTGCACCCCTTGTAGTTACACCCGAGTTCTGCACTGCAACTCCTGTAGTTACACCCGAGTTCTGCGCTGCACCCCCGTGTAGTTACACCCGAGGTCTGCACTGCACCCCCTGTAGTTACACCCGAGGTTCTGCACTGCACCCCCTGTAGTTACACCCGAGTTCTGCGCTGCAACCCCCTGTAGTTACACCCGAGTTCTGCGCTGCACCCCCTGTAGTTACACCCGAGGTCTGCACTCCACCCCATATAGTTACACCCCAGGTCTGCACTGCACCCCCTGTAGTTACACCCGAGTTCTGCGCTGCACCCCCTGTAGTTACACCCGAGTTCTGCGCTGCACCCCCTGTAGTTACACCCGAGGTCTGCACTGCACCCCCTGTAGTTACAACCCAGGTCTGCGCTGCACCCCCTGTAGTTACACCCGAGGTCTGCACTGCACCCCCTGTAGTTACAACCCGAGGTCTGCGCTGCACCCCCCCGTAGTTACACCCGAGGTCTGCGCTGCACCCCCTGCAGTTTCTCCCCTCCTCTGTTGCTGCTTGTAATGTCCTTTATATTCACAGAGAACACAAAGCTGCTTATTTCTGCTGTTGTACCATAAGTCAGCCTGTATTTTGGTGTTGTCCATAGAGGGCGCTCTTGTACAGCCGGTAGATAGGAATCACTATACACCTTGTCACCTCTTGTTGGCAAAGAAATCCTAGTAGGAAATTACTGTCTGGAGGCTGCCATTGGTGACCTTTCCTAAAAATGCCGGTTACCTGCCTGCCACCCTGATCCATTGGATCTTTCTGATCAGAAGTTCTGACTTTACCTGCTGCATGCTTGATTATTGAAAACCGTTATTCATATTGAAGGAGCGGAAGTATTCATGGGCCCCATACAAAAGGACCGAAAGTAAATTTCCAGCACCGGACCTGCTATGCAGTATAGATTTGTCAGAGGAGATGTACAATGCGGGACGCACATCCCGTCCAGCATAGATCCTCGCTGGGTCTATAATCCACTCGTTTATATAGAGCTGACAGTTTTCCTGAGCCTTAGACTGCCAAACCAGCGACTGGAGTCGGCTGTACTTCTTGCCTTGCTACTTGATACCTATTAAAGCTGAACTTGGATCTCTTCTTGTGTCCAGGTTCCCTCCAACTAGTGAGGGTATGCAGACCCTGGTGTAGCAGGGGGACTCCGATGGGGACCCTGATGTAAGAGGGGAAGTCTGATGAGAACCTTGGTTTAAGGGGGGATTCTGATAGCCCCTGAGCTAATAAGGGACTCCCATAGGGATCCTGATGTAAGAGGGAACTCTGATGGGAACCCTTAAGTAAGGGGGGGACTCTTAAGGGGATTCTGATATTCTTGAGCTAAAGGGGGACTCTGATGGAGACTCTGATATAAGGGGGACTGAAACGGGAATCCTGATGTAAGAGGGGGACTCTAATGGGGACCTTGATGTAAGGGGGGACCCAAATCCCTAATGTTAGGAGGGGAACTATGAGGGCGACCCTATTGTATGAGGGGGACTCTTACAGGGATTCTGATGTCCCTGAGCTAGGGGGGGGGGGGGGGTGGGGGGGACTCTAATGTAATGGGGGATTCAAATCTGGGGGGGGGGGAGGTTCTGATGGGGAGCCCAATATAAGGGGGGACTTTGATGGGAACCCTGATGTAAGGGGGGGGGGACTCTGATGCAGACCCTGATGTAAGAGGGGACGTCTGATGTGAACCTTGGTTTAAGGGGGGATTCTGATGGCACTGAGCTAAGCGGGGGACTCCCTTGGGGACTCTGATGTAAATGGGAAATCTGATAGGGATCCCGATGTAATGGTGGACTCTGGCTCCCTATCAGATATCCCTCCCCTCCCCAAGATCAAATATAAGGGGGGACCCTGATGTAAGGGGGGGGCTTTAATGGGGACCATGATATAAGGGAACGCTGTTATGGGAGGGGCTCTGATGTAAGGTGGAGCATTGATGGGGAGTCCAATATAAGGAAGGACTCTGATGGGAACCCTGATGTAAGGGGGGGGACTCTGACAGACTGATGTAGCATGGTACAGGGGACCCTGATGTAAGAGGGGATGTCTGATGTGAACCTTGGTTTAAGGGGGGATTCTGATGGCTCTGAGCTAAGCGGGGGACTCCCTTGGGGACCCTGATGTAAGGGGGAAATCTTATAGGGATCCTGATGTAATGGAGGTCTGATCTTGGGGAGGAGGGGGGGATATCTGATTTGGAGCCCAATATAAGGGGGGACCCTGATGTAAGGGGGGCTTTAAAGGGGACCCTGATATAAGGGAACGCTGATGTGGGGGGGACCCTGATGTAAGGGGGGTTGTAATGGGGACCCTGATATAAGGGAACGCTGATGTGGGAGGGGCTCTAATGTATGGTGGGGTTTTGATGGGGAGCCCAATATAAGGGGGGACCCTGATGTAAGGGGGGTTGTAATGGGGACCCTGATATAAGGGAACGCTGATGTGGGAGGGGCTCTATGTAAGATGGGGCATTAATGGGGAGTCCCAATATAAGGGGGGGACCCTGATGTAAGGGGGGGCTTTAATGGGGACCCTGATATAAGGGAACGCTGATGTGGGAGGGGCTCTGATGTAAGATGGGGCATTAATGGGGAGTCCAATATAAGGGGGGACCCTGATGTAAGGGGGGGCTTTAATGGAGACCCTGATATAAGGGAACGCTGATGTGGGAGGGGCTCTGATGTAAGATGGGGCTTTGATGGGGAGCCCAATATAAGGGGAGACCCCGATGTAAGGGGGCACTTTGATGAAGAGCCAGATATAAGGGGGGACTCTGATGGGGCACAATGTGGCCCTCGTACTGAAGAGGCATCACTGCATAGGGCCCGTGCTGTCTGTCTCTTTATGACTCTTGAATATTTTAGCCCAGACGACTCCTCTCCTTTCTCTGCTCTGACAGAAGATGTAACAAGTGTGACTCCAGCATTGTAGAGCCCCCCCCCCCCCCCCCCCCCCCCCTCCGTCATCTCCACGCCGGAACATCAGGACTCTGTGGTCACCTTGGTGGCTGCGGCTGCCCTGTACATTGCCTGCACTTTTCCCCTCTACCCCCCCCCCCCCCCCCCCCCCCTCCAAGCCTTTGTGATGTTGTTTGTTATTTCCCCCCCCCGGCTGACAAAGGCCTTGTTGTTCCGCACTGACAGCCTGCCCTGTCCTCTTCTATTGAAAAGGTGGAGAAAAGCGGGCAATTCATCATCGTCTGGTCACACTGGAGCCTGCAGGGCTGACAACCATTCATCAGAATCCCGGGATTCGCCTCGGACCCGAAGCGCACAACGCCACGACGCCCATTCTTCCAGCGACAGCTCCCCTCGCCGGCCGTCGCGGCCCCCCCGCCGAGTCACGAAGCCGCAGCCGCGACAGGGAACGCAAGAGGAGGAGGAGGTCGAGGTCCCCCGCGCGAGGCCAAGCGGCGGCATGACACGGACTCAGACGACTGATCGGGGCCAAGGCACAGCGGGGCGGCGGGTGAGAAGAATGCGGTGTGCGGTGGGGCTGCCCGCGGGGACTCTAGAAGTTATGGCTCTGTGACTCTCAGGGACACTTCTATAGAATCGCCAATTGACTTTGCCACAGATATTACCGAGCAATAAATTGTCGTCTTCCCCACCGCTCGGGCGCCCCAGCGAGGACGAATCGGAGTTTAATGACTCCTTGACGACTCTGTGTGTGTGTTCTGCTCAATAAAAACCAGAAACCTGCCCCCTATAGACCGAAATCTGCCGGAGCGGGCAAACGTTCGACTGCCTCGGGTCACAATGCATTTGTCTGCAGAGAGGAAGGTCCTAAAGATGGCATTTTTCTGCATTTTTTTAAGCGGAGTTCCTCTCATTCTGTCAAAAAATAAAGCCACTTACCTGTCCCTCGGCCCCGTGGTGTGTCCCCCGCAGCCCGTTTCAGCGGCCGTCCTGTATTCCAGGAGGCCGGCAGTGTGGGCACCTGGCGGTGACAGCTTGCGGCTTCACAGCCGGGTGCCCACTGCGCATGCGCGAGAAGCGCTGCGCTTCATGATTGGTCCTGTAGTCTTCTGGGACCTGTCATGTGTCCCAGAAGACTACAGGGAGGGAGGACAGCTTCCAATCGCCTAGGCCAGGTGTAGGCAACCTGCGGCTCTCCAGCTGTTGCAGGACTACAAGTTCCATCATGCCTCTGCAAGTCATAGCTGTAACTGTCAGTTTTGCAATGTCTCATGGGAAATGTAGTTCCACAACAGCTAGAGAGCCGCAGGTTGCCTACCCCTGGCTTAGGCGATCGGACCGGAAGTGGGAGCAGGTACCTGTCAAATTCGGGTGCCCGCTCCGCCACCCAAATAGTACAGAGCCCTAGGAGGCACTCTGCACATGCTCAGTTTGGTGTGTATTTGGTGTTTTTTTTTTTGGGGGGGGGGGGGGGGTTGCATCAGCACAGGGCCAATCGGCACTATCCAGACAGAGGGCCAGAGATCATGCAGGTCAGCCAGAGAAGAATGAAAACTCCTCCTACAAGATTAACCAGTGCTCTGCTGGACACTGATAGCAGTCTTGTGACTTCTATATACTGCGGTCTGAAATCCTCTATCCACATCGCTTGCGTGGGGAGCCCCCCAGAACCCCCCTTTAATACTCAACTGAGCCTGATCCAGCGATGTGCTCGGGAGCCTCTCCTGTCCCGAGTCTCTCTCTCCTTCTTGGGTGAAACGCAGCTCGGCAAACGCTCCGCAAACTCCGCATGCGTGGTTCAGCGGCGGTTGCTAGGCACTTGCCGAGCGTTAAAAACGCCCCACAAACGCCTATAATGATGTTTGAATGGTGTTTACCGCTACGCAAACGCCGGCCGGGCCGGGTGGCACCATAGACTAGAATAGGAGGCTTCAACGCCTCCTGACTGGACCAGAGGCATCGGTTTTGCCGCACTGCGCCGCTAATGCTCCCGTTAGAACAGCACCATGTGCTGCAATGGGCAGAATTGTCCGAGGCGTTTGGGAAGCGGTAAAAACGCTTCCCAAACGCCTTTCTGCAAACAACGCTAGTGTGAACGTAGCCTGAAATGTGTTAGATTCAGGCTTGCAGCAAAAACAAACCTATGAGGTGGTGATAGATGAACGGAAAATTGTATCAAATACCTTAATTCTCCTTTCCTGACACCAACCATGGCAGCATATCTGCGATTTAGGTTGATGCCAGGAAAAATGTTTTTCAAGATTTCTGGGGAAAAAAGGATTTTTTGTTTAAATGCCAAGTCCGTGTGACAAAATACCAACCCCATCCCCCCCTTACAAAACAAAAAGAAATATATATAAAAAAAAAAAGGAAATGTCATTTGAGCAGAGGCACCCCCATTACATCTTCAGATTTATGTTCAGTGTACAGGATATCGGTTTTGTCTGTCCACAATAAAATGTCATTTTTTTAAATATTTAGTCTTGTATATTACTTTTCTACTAGTATGTGTTGGGCCACAAAAAAAAACAAAACATCAGCACATGCAGGAATCTGGCCCTAAACGCACTCCATGCAGCATTGAGGCCTGTCCAGGTGAAGTCTGCCATAGATATTGGCAGGGTGGGGGGTCTGCATGCTGCCCTTGTCCCTCCCGGGCATAGGAACCGCCAGGAGGGACGCCCCAGCAGCTAGACACCCCCCTGGGCAAGGGGCCTAAGGCCCCATCTACGCTGGTGCATTTTAATGCATGTTACAACATTACGCATGTAACCTCACAATAATAAAAAATAGTGTCTGTTTCCATCTCATCGCTGCAGTGCATTGTGAAAATCTGTATTTTCTGCGTTCCGGTGCGTTGGGAGGCCCAATACAATGCAACGGGCGTCCCGAGGGTGACACCAGCCACACGGGGTGACACCGGACCCGCTCCACAAAAAGGTAAATTTGTAAAGCAAGCCGACGATCCCCGCAGGATGGATGGGATCTGCGGTTTGGGGAGCATAATGGATCGGAGTCCGATCCATTATGCTCAATCCGCAGATCCGAACCATCCTGCGGGGATCGTCGGCATGCAACCTATACGGGGTGACACCGGACCCTCTCCACGAAAAGGTAAGTTGTAAAGAAAGCCGATGATCCCCGCAGGATGGATGGGATCTGTGGATTGGGGAGCATAATGGATCGGAGTCCGATCCATTATGCACAATCCGCAGATCCCATCCATCCTGCGGGGATCGTCGGCACGCAACCTATATGGAGTGACACCGGACCCGCTCCACGAAAAGGTAAGTTGTAAAGAAGGCCAACGATCCCCACAGGATGGATGGAATCTGCGGATTGGGGAGCATAATGGATCCGACTCCGATCCATTATGCTCAATCCGCAGATCCCATCCATCCTGCGGGGATCGTCGGCACGCAACCTATATGGAGTGACACCGGACCCGCTCCCGAAAAGGTAAGTTGTAAAGAGAGCCGACGATCCCGCAGGATGGATCGGATCTGCGGATTGAACATAATGGATCGGAGTCGGATCCATTATGCTCCCCAATCCGCAGATCCATCCATCCTGCGGGGATCGTCGGCTCTCTTTACAACTTACCTTTTCGTGGAGCGGGTCCGGTGTCACTCCATATAGGTTGCATACTGATGATCCCCGCAGGATGGATGGGATCTGCGGATTGGGGAGCATAAAAGATCGGAGTCCAATCCATTATGCTCAATCCGCAGATCCGAACCATCCTGCGGGGATCGTCAGCATGCATCCTATATGGGGTGACACCGGACCCGCTCCACGAAAAGGTAAGTTGTAAAGAAACCGACGATCCCCGCAGGATGGATCGGATCTGCGGATTGAGCATAATGGATCGGAGTCCAATCCATTATGCTCAATCCGCAGATCCGATCCATTCTGCGGGGATCGTCGGAGGGGGTGTCACCAAGTGTTACCGCAACGGGTGACGCCAACCCTAGGGACGCCCCCTGCAATGCAACAACACGTATACATGCATTTTTATGCATTGGGAACGGGTATTAACAAGCCTTGGTCGACGGCTGTTAGCTCCATTCACTCTAGATCCTAAATTTAAAAATACATTAGAGACGCGTGTTGTTGAAGCAACGCATGTCAATGCACCATGACGCATGATCATACACCTGCCTAACACTACAAAATAAAAACATGAAACGTGTGAAAACATATTTGACCCCTTCCTAGTTTTTTTGCTTTGTTTTTTTTGGGGTTTTTTTTTCGTTTTATTTGTTTTTTTGTTTGTTTTGGGGTTTTTTTTTGTTTTTTTGGGTGGAGTGTGTTTTTTTGTGTTTTGTTTTTTTTTGCATATTTGCCACACGTAAAATGATTCAGATCATCCAACAAATTTTAACATTTCACAAAGATAACCCAAGTAAATACAAAACGCAGTTTTTAAATGATTTAATTTCTAAAGGGAAAAAAGCTGTTCAAACATGCCTGGCCCTGTGTGAAAAAGTATTTGCCCCGCCAACCCCCCCCCCCGCCCCTCTCTTTGATGCACACGCGTTCCGTATATGGGGGAGAGGAATAAAACAAAAGCACCAGAAGAGGGGAAGCACAAAGATGATTATTACACTCAATCAAGAGACGGCTGGGAGAGGTTCCCCCCCCCCCACAATTGTAAAATCATAAATGAACTGTAATTAATGTGATTCTAACGTTTTTCTTTGGTTTTTTTTTTTTTTTTTGTAAAATAACAAACATGTCTGTACTTACCTGCTGTGTGTAGTGGTTTTGCAAAGAGCAGCCCGAATCTTCCTCTCCTTGGGTCCCCCGCAGGCTCTCCTGGCTCCTCCTGGCTGTTGGGTGCCCCCACAGCAAGCAGCTTGCCAAGGGGACACCCGCTGCTCCGTGTGCCCATTCACACACAGAGCCGTGGCTTGCCTCCCCCCTCTCTCATTGGCTGACTGGCTGTGATTGATGGCTCTTGCTTACAGTCTCCGCCAATGAGCATAGCCAATCAAAGTGCTCTGTTACGGGGGCTCTCAGGGTTGGTCATGGGGAATGGTTGGCATCTCCAGATCCTCGTGCTGTAAAGGGGCAGATGGAAGGTCATGACGGTGCAGATCAATTACATCGTTGGATTGCGATGAGGCTTAGGTAACTATTGGGGGGGCTGGGGGGAAAGATGCATAGAATGCATGAAGGTAAAAAAACCACTTGAACCTAATTTTGTGAAAAACTGAGTTAAATTTCACTTGTAACACCAAGGCCTGATTACTGCCAGACCTGTTGAATCAAGAAATCAGTTAAATAGAAGCACGCTAAAAGATCTAAAAAAAAAAACAACACGTCATATTGCAACCTAAAGCAGTTCTAGAACAGATGAGAAACAAATGAATTGACATGTATCAGTCTGGAAAGGGTTACAAAGCCATTTCTAAGTCTTTGGGACTTCAGCGAACCACGATGAGAGCCTTTATCCACAAATGAAGAAAACGTGGAATGGTGGTGAACCTTCCTCCAGGGGTGGCTCCAAGAATGACT